GGGGGGGGGGGGGGAGGGGGAAATTCATCAGAGTTGAAAATGAATATCTCGTTCATCTTCGAAGATCCTGAAGTTTTAATGTGTTCCGCTTGCTTACCCACCAGGGAGTGGGACAAAATGTTAGAAAGAAAGTCGCAGAAACAAGTAAATTAAATGGTGTGTTCCTACCGCTTAGTACTTGAAACAAGAGAAAATTGATTTAAATATTTCAAGACTTCATAGCACCATCCACAAACGCAAGTATTTTATGTGTCTTGAAATTCAAAGGATTACATAACTTGGTTTTATTCGATACTGGCAATGACTCGGAAATTATATTGCGGGGTTCCCGTTAATATTGCTTCCATTCGTATGCATGACTTACTTCTAGTTTAGAGGCAAAGCGATGAATTTGCAGTCCAAAGGTTGGGAGGTTCACCGCTCGGCTTTTTCGGGAACTTTGCATTATTTTTTTCGGCTTACCCAACTGCAAATTGGTACTTTACAGTCAAAAGAGATTGGATAAGTAAAGCTTAGAAGTAATTTTCTAACTGGCTGCAACACTATATTCGCAAGAAAAAGGAAATAATCTATCAGTGAACTAACCCGTCAATTGACTTTGTGAGCTTTCATCTCCGAGTGGTGTGTGTATGTGTATGGTGAAATAGAGCGATTGAAGGAAAGAACGCTAAGCAGATTCTTTAAAGTATTATTGCATACGTACAAAAATATCAGAACAAACAACACAGAATCCGAGGTTTTGAGAAAAAAACCAACACATTTTTAATTAAAGGGAAGCAATTCAATTTTAAAGCAAGCTTTAGATTATGCCACAATTTACCAGACTTACTTCCCTTGTTCAGACATGGATATCCGAAACATCGTTAATTAACCATTTTTTTCATAATATCCTTTGCTGGTCTTCTTTTCTTGTTTTTATTTCCATATCAACCCCCATCCCCACCCCTTTATACCCTCTAGATTAATCCTTCTGTGTTTTTAAACTCCCTTTCATAAACATTTCTTAGCGACTTCATTGCCGATATGGTACACCTGAACCGCTCAATCTTCTTTCCATTTGTTTGTTTTGTTTTTCTTTCTAATTAAAGATGGATACTGAAGTGCACATGAAATACATTATTCGTGATCTGTGGCAGTATTGAACACAACAGGACATAATATGAGACAGCTGAACTCTTGGAGATGCCCTTCGTTTGTTTTTTTTATACAATCATGGATCATCGGATACAAATTCAAGTAGTATTTATCGCCTGACAGTTTTCATCATAAGACAAAAACTGCTCGCCACAGAAGATGACATACGGGCCTCAAACACAATTTAGCCCCTCCCACTGAACAAAAGAAGGAGTGCCTATTTCTTTTTAAAAAATAAGTACGTGTTGTGACTAACGCCTCCTATTTTCTCAAAAGAGTGTACCTCCCCTCCACCTATATCAACTCACTTCTACTCTTTCTTTCATGTTAAATGAGCTAAGTTAAAAAGTAGTGATATTGCGTACTGAGTCATGAGTACTGTCTATAAATCTTTCTTCTATGTCCAATGTGCCATTGTGGCTGTCAATAACCGTTCTAACCATTTTGCTCAGGATTCCATTCTCATTCATCACACCTTGTTTTCCCGAGGCATCCTACGTAATTTGGTGAGACGAGAGACTCGCAACTAAGGTTGTTTATTCTGCTTCCACTGCTTTGGGTCTTTGAAGTCAAGAGTATTTCTTTATCAGAACATCCAGAAACAGGGTGGCCCTCAACAGCCTTTGTTAACTCCGAGCGATGAAAGATAATAATTGACATTGCGAGTAGCAGCAAGCCACAAAAACGTTTTATCTTTTTTAAATTTTAATACCCTTGCACACATGACTCATACAGTACTTCTTTGTCTCCTAGTCCTAATAGATACTCCCGTCTTTCTCCGAATTATTCACAGAAAGGTAGTTGTCCCAAAGCAAGTTGACAGTGAACTTCAGAAAAAACAAATAAAAAGCGAAAACAATCACAAGAAAAAGTAATCCCGTTTTGGCTCCTCACGTCACTGGGCACTTAGAGTTGTCTTTGCCGGAAATGACGTTGAGTGGGACACTGTGACGTGTTTTGTGGATACAGTGTCAGTCTTCCTCCTTAGCGCGGAGTAATTTTTGTATCAACTTGAGCACTTCGGCGCGTGAGCTCTGTGTGTCATCAAAGCCGATTCTAGACGTTTCCTTTCGAAGTCGGCATCTGTCATTTGCGGCACATGATTCTGGGGGGAAAGTAAATAGAAAAAGATACAGAATGATCATGAGCAACTGGAAAAGCATTTAGAAATTAGCGTACGTAATCGAGAACAAAAGACCACCATTACAAGGAAATAATATGTAAGCCTACATGTTTTTCATCTCAGACAAAAAAGAGAAGGAAAATAGATGTTGTACCATACGAATACTAAACAATGGGGAGTGAGTAAAAAGGGGTATGAGAGGTGTGTGTGCGCGTGAATGTCTGCGTGTATGTTTCTTTGTATGTCTGTGTGTGCCCGAGTGTGTGCATGACAGACAGACAGACAGACAGACAGACAGACAGACAGACAGACAGACAGACAGACAGACAGACAGACAGACAAAAGAAAGCGAGAGAACGAACGAGAGAAACGGAAGGAGAGGGAGGGGGCGAAAAAAAAGCAACAAGCTAGGAACAGTGTCACATCGCCTTCGCATTTGAGCTATGAATAACCGTAAAGTGATCAAATCAACGAACAGCTATGCTCAATGGTTCAGTTGTCCTCTTTTCAACGTCTGAATTAAAACGCAGTCAAACAACAAGAGTCCTAGAAAGCCAAAATTATTTTCTTTTGAAAATTAAAAGAAACATGACTTGAAAGCACTCATGGCGTGTTTGAACTAGAAGCTTGCCTTTTTACGGTGGAATTCTGTTAGAAGAAGGGAAACCTACAAAAAATAAAACGAAGGTACCCCTGACTGTTACAAATGTTAATTTGACACGACGTCGTGCTAAAACAGAAGGCCCAAACGCAATGTGTGCACAGTAAATCGGGAAAGTGCCGTCAACCTTAAAAGCCATCCAGTCGGCTCGTTTGGTTTGGCTAAAAATAGAACAGCAAAAAAAAAGGAGCAGAAGGTCACGCTGTGTCGAAATAGAAGCAGAAATTAGGTATGAATTAGGGAAACACTTTTAGGACAGACGGAGCAGGGTAGGTTGATTAAAGGGTGGCTTTTGTCTCGGTCTTCCTACATGTCACGAACAAAATATAGATTATAGTCATAGAATGCGCTAACTACGCCACCCGGAAAACGCATTAAAATGCAGGGATCACTATTGTCCAATATGCAGAACGAATGCATAATATTAATTTAAATATTCTCCATACTCATTTTACAATTTCGCAAATACTTCGCGCATTTCACATTTGGCTTTTTCGGAGATGGATGTTAAACACGAAAGTCCCGCCTCTTAAATAACGTTATAGTTTTGATAGCGGCGTTAAACATGATATACCATTTCACCATCTTCACCGAAATACTCACGGAGCACGTCATAACAATTTTTAACTTTGTAACTTTGGCATTACAAATTATCGACACTACTCGTATGTTGTTAAGTCAGTCGGAAACCAGAGCAGTAAACATAAATGTATGTGTTAAGTGAATGTAACAATGGGTTGTTTTGTTGGGTTTTTTAAAGGATTGCTGCTCTCAATGGTTCTATTTAGTTGTTTTTCCTAAACTCTTGGTTCGGTGGCTCTCGTGGTCTAGAGGTTAAGGTGTTCGCCTTTCAAGTCCATAGATTCCGGGTTCGAATCCAGATAGCGACGGAAAATCTTTCTTATCTAAAAACTGTCTCCTTTCAGCTCCTATCCTGCACCCTAGCCATTATCTATCGTCTGCTTTCGTTTCCACTTTCTGCCCCCACCACCTCACCTCCTATGCTCCCTCCTCTGGGCTTTCGGCTCTTTCTGTAGCCTTTCTACTGCTACTCCTTGGCTCCTTCTAACTGCTGCCTTTCAGACACACCTTGATCTTGTTGTAGGAAAGGTCTACACCTAGCCTTTTCGGACAAGGGCGAAAAATCTCGGAGGTCCTGTGTGCAGGTTGCGCACGTTTAAAGATCCCTTCGTGGTTCAAAATCGACCAGAGTAGGCTTCGGCCGCCATTCGGGCAAAAATCAAAAATGTCCTACCAACTGAAAATGTTTAATGTGTCTCGCGCGCTCACATGACCTTGTGCAGTTGCGAGTGCCCTAAAACACTTTTTTTTAAATTTTAACAACTCTTCATTCTTTTTAAAGACTTTTAGAGAAAAACTCAGAAAAGATAATGAAAGAAAAGAGGCAGGCAGAAAGAAAGAGGATGACAGAAATAGAAAGAAGGAGAAAGAAATAGACAGAGAAGGAGAAGAAAGAGAAAGATGGAGCGAGAGAAAGAGAGAACGAGAAAGAGGGGGAGAGACAGATTGAGAGACAGAGAGAGAGGGGGGAAACAGAGAGAGAGAGAGAGAGAGAGAGAGAGAGAGAGAGAGAGAGAGAGAGAGAGAGAGAGAGAGAGAGAGACATTAGACAGAGAGAGAAGGGAGGAGAGGGAGAGAGAAAGAGAAGGGAGGGGAGAGGTGCGGGGGGGGGGGGGACAAAGCATTTTGCAACAACAACAAAAACCCTTTAATGTTACATCTTAGGCAAGGACGACCTACCTGAATCACAGCAAATTCCGTTAGCCACGCAGTTTCCTGAGTCTCGGTATCCGCACGTCTCACCTCGGACACTGCAAGGGGAAGTACTCTGATTTTCTTTCTGGCATATTTCCGTTTCTGGTGTGCCAATATGGCAACCAAAATGTGGACTGCAGCAGATGTTGGGGCCTACACACTGGCCGATCCCGTCAGGACCACACGCCATGCACTGGAAATAAATAGAAAGACGAGTGATTTTTTAATTGAAGTCATCATCATCATCATCATCATCATCATTGTCATCATCATCATCATCGCCAACATCTATTTCCAACAAATAATGTTAATTAAAGTAAAAATAGTCAAAGTTTTTAAAAATTGCATAAACTTGAAAGAGGTTTATTTTAAATTTTCCAGATTGTAAAGGTCCAATCTTTCGCATTTAAGGTATATTGTGGCAATGGAAAATATGGAGCAGAACTGGAAAATAGTGGGAAGAACAAGAAATGAAAGAAGCTGTGGTCGTAATGCGATCAATGAAAAGAGGACTGATTGACCAGGTCTCTCTAATAAATCATGGATCGTTTAAAAAGTTAGTCCTGACTGACGGTTCAGTATCAGTAAGACGGTAAGGTGGGGGAGAGAGTAGGGGATGGGGAGGGCAGGTGGGAGATTGCTTGCAGATGAAGTCAGAAAAGTCGAAGTACATACGTTAAATTTTAACAGGAATAAGAGGCTTTGTTTTGTTGAAGACTGACACGGTGACACTTGGAAGAGGCGGGGTGGGCGGAGAGGGCGATTGATGGACGGGTTATAAGAGCATCAACTGTTTCTGCTCTTTATTTTGTATGTTTTTATGCAGGTGTTTTTACGTCCCCATCGACACATTTTAGATAACTTAAAAGGCGAACTTTCGACACTGCCTGTCAGGACCAACCCAGGTTGAGAGGGATACAAAATCCCAACAGAAAGGTCGAGATTCTCGATAGAAATATTATCCTCACTCGAGAATCGAGCTCGGGTCTCCTGCGTGCGACAGCGAAGCACTTAGGCGGATGCCAGTATCTTCATTTGTGACTGATGACAATGAGGAACAGAGAGGAGGAACCTTTGATTGCGAGCCGAAAACCACATCCGTATCTTCCTTCTAACTGTGCTTTCTGTTTTAATCTGCATTTGGCCCAAAGTATTGTTAAGGTTATTTTGTGCTTTGATGTGGCTAACAAATATTTCATCTACTTGACACCGTTTTTTAAAGATTTTTTAAACATTATTTTTATGCTGAATATTAGTTACGATCCTCAAGGAAAAAGGGTTGTTCCAGTCTCAGGGCCATATCGATCGATATCAATTTTTAAAAAATCCTGGTGACTGATATCGTTGGTGTGCGAAAAAGGCACAAAAGGTGAACGTGATGCCCTAAACACTTGAAAGTTTGCCCAGAAGCGGCGAGTACCAAGGGCGCGAATTTTACACCAGGGGGTTATAGCCTCTTTCCGGATCTAAGAAGGGTTCGTTAAAATCGGAACGGCAAGCAACTTTTGTTTCAAAGTCAATACTAGCGTGAGAAGACATGACTTTTTGTTAATAGTATGCAATAATACAATGAAAAATCATGTTTAACATTGAAATAGAGGTGTTTCCTGTCCGGGTTCCTCCCTCTTTACTATACTTAACCTGAGAGGTTGCTCTTTTATCAGGCTCTAAGGCCAAGCTCAGATTTTTTAAAAGACGCTTTAAGTAAATCCACATCATGTACTCGAATAACGGGTGAGGCGATATCCTATCACTGTCTAAAAATACATGTACCTGCTGAGATATATCTCCTGTACGCCCCTTAAGAAAACAACAAGCAAAAAGTATTAAAAGTACGAAGTTATATTCAAACATACATTATAAGTTTGTTCCAACGTTAACGTCACGGACGTGATCAATAGGCGTGAGGCGGTTGTAGGGCTGGTCTCCATTCAAATTATCAAGATCATAGATACGACGAGTAAGGTTTACTAAGTGTTAGAGTGACATATTACAGCATTTTCGTGATCAAGGTATGATACAATGAGAAAATTTGTTTTAAGTTGCCTCTGATCTTTTAAGTTATATAACTAACAGCTCAAGATTAAGCCAAAGCGAAATAAAAAACAAAAATGAACACAAAAAAATAGCTAAAAGCCTATTAAAGCTTACAAGGTTAATAATGCTTACTGTCAGGTACATTTTAATATCACACCCACACGGACCAGTTGGAACATCGAAGACACAAAGTGCATTTTCACCAAATAAACATCTTCTGGTAATCTTTGGGTACATTGAAATACAAAAGAAATGTGTAGTGAACCTAAGCGCAGCCTTGTGTTAGTACATGTAAGCGGTTTTTCCCATTTAAGACGTGGGTGGTTGGGGGTTTCTTTTGAGTGCTTTGCTCCTTTTTTCTCCAATCAAACAAGTGTCGTCCTTATCTTTCCTTTTTCTCTGTTATTTATTACTCTCTTGTAACACCTTTAATTTTTTGCACTTAAGACCAAATTTTGTCCTAATTGTTTTACAAGTGCCGTAAAACTCTTACTAAAAACATTTAAAGCAAAACAGCACTATTTGTTTGGGCTTTTTAAAATATTATTCATGACTCAAGTGACCGAGTTTTTAGTGAACCGGGACTGACAAATAATGTAGGCCAAGCGGTGTTCAGGTGCTTCGTCATTTATGGGGTGTGTTCTTGACAGAGATTCCAACACCTTGGCTCAAAAACAGAGCGCTGAAAATTCCTGGGAGTGTTTGTAAAATTTATGCGTATGTTGTTGTGGTGAGGCATATTAATATTAATTTACTATATGATGTCGTTGCATAGACTTGAATCATAATAAATAAAATTATTATACAAATATCAAAGTTGAAGACAATGTTTTACAGAAAAGTATATTTAAAATGCTGGAACTCTATTTCTGAAATATCTGTCAGGTTCTTTTATTTAATTTCGTAGTGGTACTGAGCTTTAGAGCTTTTGTGGGTAAGTGTGTGTGTGTGTGTGTGTGTGTGTGTGTGTGTGTGTGTGTGTATGTGTGTGTTTTTGTGCGTGCGTGAGTGTGTGAGTGAGGTGTGAGTGTGTGTGTGTGTGTGTGTGTGTGTGTGTGTGTGTGTGTGTGTGTGTGTGCGCGCGCGCGTGATTAGCAAGCGCCACCGAGCACTTTTATGGATTCTGGTGTGTTATAAATTCATTTATTATTATCATTATTATTATTATTAGACCGCCCTGCCATTACCACCGTTCTTTGTTCTTTATAAAACCTTTGCTTTGGTGGTGCGCATCACAGACGCGAAAATAAAGGGCAAAACACCAGTCTCGCTACAGTACAGTGCGTGTGCAACCTTTTCCTCCTTTCTCCTTCACATGGTTCCAAAATAATTGAGTTAATAGGTGCGCTCTATGGTGAATCCGATTTTTATCAAAGTGCACAGTCTAGGATATTATAATACATAGCTACCTCAGAGTTACAAAGTTTTATCTGATATTTTTGGTCGTTTTGAGTTACTAAGACTCTGAGATATTTAAAAAAACCTAAATGTCCTATCTACTCTATCAAAATCGTACGATTATTCGAAGTCGTTATAAAGATATTCAAAGAATTGCACTCGAAAAAGTTCAACATGATGTGAAACTCAAAATCTTTGACGTCAAATTTCTTAAAACTAGGTACTGTGCAGATAGAACTTTGTAATTCTGAGATAGAAACATGTCTATCATGGAACTGGTGTCCTGTGGGGTGTCCGTTGTACTTGGCAATGTAACCAAAATTGTCCTACGGAGATCAATAATTGTGCTATTTTACTTTTATGTTGTTTTTTAGTGTGGGTTTTTTTTCTCCCAAAAACCGCCCCCGCCCAAGCCTATTTGAATTTTGTTTTGTTTTGTTTTACCTTTCTTAGTTTTGTAAGTATTCTCGCCAGACAAACGTCTTGCCTCGGGGAGCAATTTTGATGCAGTGAGGGCCTGCATGGCTTCCCATTACAGTTTTTCAATAACCTAAATCCTCCAAGTGTCACATAGGCTTGATTGCTTCCTCAACTTTGCTTGTAATAAGACACGAGCAAATGGGATGCTCAATACCTACTTTAATTGAAGTTCATGACAAGGATTCCAAGGCGGAGTCCATGAGACCTGATGGCATATATTATACTGTCAGTTTATAAATCGCAGATAAAAACTCTCAACCCACCCCGTTCCACGTGCCCCCCCTCCCCCTCTCTCTCTCTCTCTCTCTCTCTCTCTCTCTCTCTCTCTCTCTCTCTCTCTCTCTCTCTCTCTCTCTCTCTCTCCAGGCTGAGAAATAAAGATGTAAGAGCAACTGCTCGCTTGCATTTCATAGAAAATAGTGAATTAATGGGTTTGGCTACCTTATCAGCCAGCCTCGAGAGCTTATAACACCAAGTTTCAGGCTACAAAGGAAGAGGTAGACCACGCAAAAGGGATTAGGGTAGTCAAGGGTATCCTCAGAAACAGCATCTCAATTGAAAGAACTGCAGAGTTGGCCTACTACAGAAAACTGCAACCCCCCCCCCCCAAATCATCGACGCAGAATGATTCGCATTCGTTTTGTCAAAGTTATACTCAATGTGTAGCTGTATTAGGACACGCTTTTACTCACAGTATTTTCAACAAGGGGTAAATCTTAATTTGAAAGACTTACGTTATGAGGAAAATTTACCAGAACTTGCTATTATTCCTGTTGTGGTTGTTGGTGGTGGGGTTTTTTGAACGGGCAAAGAAATCCTCTGATCAAGAAATAGGATATAATAAATGCAGGATAGAGAGTGCATGGGCAACCATTGGGCGCTCAAGGCTACAAGAGAAGGCGCGGCCAATCAGCACCATCAACCACAGATTGTGTTTCTGGTCTTTGTAGCCGTGGACTATTATTTTAGGAAACGACGATAAGGGAGAAAATGTGAACCATTTTAAGTTCCGGTCTCGGGAATGTCACGTGCAAGTAAGCCCATACCCGCAACTATCGAAATATTGTTAGCTATTTTTTCTTAACTTCAGTCTGGCTTCATAATTTAATTATGAAAAGTTGTGACAGGCTCGGTGGTTGGGGTAATTCGTGTTTGAAATCAAAAAAGTTTTATTTTCCCCGTCTTTCTACGTAATAGTGAGTTCGGGGGTCTTTCCGTTAACTGTACGCTTGGGCGCGTTAAATTAATTCGGGCGGTTTTTTGCTCTTTCTTTGGGTT